AAGGAGGTTGGTCAAAGTTTGCTGACACGCATATCTACCACAGGTTTGTGGAATGGTTCTTGACAGAGAGGATTAATCAATTCAATGAGGACGAGTATTTTTTGATGATTCTTGAAGCTGTCAAAGCGGCCAACGACACTTTTTCAATTCGTTACTCGTCTGGGTTGTGGCTGACGTCCAATGAAGCGCTTGCAGCTGGAAACAAAGGAAGAAAGTGGTTACGTATCTATGCAAATCTTGCCTATAGGTGCTTCACTGAGCGAAAATCACGCTTCCCGATCTATGTTAAGTTTCACATGTTGGACCATCACTGGCGTCGTTTGGTATCTGGAGCCCAAAACAAATGGACACTGAACATCCTAGCGGAGTCAGTGCAGGCTGATGAGGAGTCTAGTTTGAATTTATTTGAATTTTGATATGTTGGTCGTTATGTGGTCCTATCCTAGTATGTGTCATCACTGTTGTATTTTCCGTTCCCTGGGGATGTCTCATTTCAGGACTTTGTGGGGAGATGCTGTCGCGTCAGCCGACGCATTTCCCCCAGGGCAATTGGATTGAGAGTACTTCAAAGGTATCTTGTGATGGCAAACAAAGCGTGGGTCAACAGCCCGAACCCTGACACTCAGCAGCCGACGAAGAGAAGCTTCGCCGAGATGACGGGCCCGCTTGAAGCTGATGGTCCAAAGCACAGAAAAAGGGGGAGTGAAGCAATTGTGTGTGATTATGGCTGAACCCCCAAATTGGGAAACACCCGTAAGCCGTAATGACCAAAAAAAATGGTTGAGGCCGTATGATCAAAAAAAACATTCATTTGGGTTCCTAGGTATATATACATGTATCCATCTATGTACATGATATCTATCATATGCATCTATGTGTCTAGCGTATATTTAGTTATCTATAAGATACGTGTCTTTTTGATTGTAACTGTAAGATATCACTTTTTATTTTCCCACCATAAGTGATTGAGCACTTATACGTATATAGTAATCTAGTACTTTACATCATATACATGCATCGTGCAAATATATTTTTAGGTGATGAACAGATACCGTTGATTAACATCTCCAGTCCGTCCCCAAGCCCTACAAGCTGTTGGAACAGCATGGGCACGTACATCCTCGAGTGCATCCTGTTGGCTTCTCTGACTTACTGATCTACTACAAAGTGGGCCCCCTAGCTATAAGTTGGTTTACAAGTCATTAAACTACATATATATATATATATATATTAATGTATTATATTTATTCCCCACAACTCCTAGGTATTGTAGCGATATAAAGTTAGCTATCCACTGGTCCCACATAGGATACATGATCCTGTCCGTTCCATAGGCCTTAGGTTTATGTCCGCAATCGAAGTGTCGTGGCAGTTCCTCTCAAACTTCAGCTGAGTTGGAGGCAGTCAATGATGAGTTGCAATTGCAAAACTGCGAAGAGGTGAGAATATTTGAACTAGCGGCTAGCACCATTATATGTATGGGTATTTTCTTGTATGTATATGTATTATGAGTCAATCAGCTTGAGACCACAAGTCACAATGACTTCAAAGGGTGTAACTCTCGTTCGTCGACTTCATGCCGTCCAAATTTCCAGACAAAGATGGCCACAAACATGACAACAGTTTTGGGCGCTGCCCACCATCTCGGAGCACTTTAACTGTCTTTCAAATGGCGCTATCAACATAAGCACTTTGGGTTTCTTGGGGTTGCACTGACGATGGGACTTAAACCACCATTAAGCATATATCTGGGTAAATTATAACGACCTCACTGCGACCTCACTGGGAATGATGGTTAGTAAGGGGAATCATCCCAAAATGGCCTTAATTCAGGTTAGTGAAATATTACAATTTACCCATATATATATATACATATATATATAGAGAGAGAGAGAGACTAAGGCTATTACAGATATCCACTTAGTTCACTTGCAACTTGACCCCAAGTTTTTTCTCCATTCCAGCTATTTGCATGTGACTTTACCGCGGCAACGTGGCTTTTTGAGCTTGACCACCAGCCATGAGCATTTTCATGGATGGCATCGCATTGGGCAGCGTTGGTGGTGAGTCGCCAGCACTGAAATGGGGCCTCTTTGCCTTCCTCACGCGCCCTGGATGGGGATGACGCTGGCCCTTAGCTTCTGGTACCCTCTGGTAATTTAACGTAGCTATTGAAAACGGCCCATTTAGTTCGTTGATTTACCTACTAAAGGTGTTGATTTTCAATAGCCATGTTGGTTTACCAGAAGGTAAATTCATGTAAATTCACCTAGACCCTTAAAATCATCATTTTTTAGTGGAAACTAACCTTTTCAATCCTTTATCTGGCAGGGTCTATGTTGATTTACTGGAGGGTATATAACAGTTACAGTTATAGCCCAAAATACTTATATAACAATTATGGCCACGGTGGTTTGTAACTACCATTTTAGATAGACCCCACAACTGAGGATATTCGGATATTCCATATTTTTCCATTTTCCTTGTGGAGTATAATATAGTCATGAACCATGTGTTAACGCATTTATGGCCCTTAACAGTTTTAATTAGAATGACCTCATTGTGACCTCACTGGAATAAAAGTCAATCAGGGGAATCATCCCCAAATGACCTTATTTCAGGAGGCGTGTTCACAATTGGCCTCATGGTTTCGTGATTATATATATATAATTTATTCCCAGGTTTTTTGTTGATGTTTGTTCAATTTCATCTTGCGCATATTTTTGATTTATATGTGAATATGAATTTTATTTTGTTGGTTGGAGCGGGATGTTAATGTTCAATTGAAATTCATTCCAAAGTTGATGCTACGGTGATAATGGGGAGGGGTGAGATGTTAATAGTTAATGTTCAATTCCAATTGGTAGCAAGGTCTTGACCGTTATTTTCCGGCGAGCCTGCACAACAAGAAGGCGAAGCCGTTTAATGAACGTGTGGCAATGTACATGCACGTTCTCTTATGTTTCGCGTTACCATTTGCGCACTCAGGCTAATCTGCTTGTTGGAAATTGCCAAACTGGATTAAGATGATATATGATATATGTCGAGCAGACAAAATGAGGCGTAAGCGCAACTTTGCCGGTGCCCTTATTTTGAACCCCTCCTGCAATTGCGTCGCAATTCTTGGAAAACCCTATAAGGCTAAATGACTTCAGGTTGGTGAATCATTGGACTTGACCCAGATACATGGGAGATCATGGGAGTATAACTCCTGTAACTAAGGTGAAAAATGCCACTTCAATGCGATTTCTGAGCCAGTTATAACTGTGAAAAGGTTCGCAACCAGGTGATTTTGGGATATAATGGATTAATGGGATGTCTAAGATTTGGAAGAGAAAAGTCCACACCAGATTAAGATCTACCCTGGTTGATTTGAAATGTTTGAAGATCCGGTTGATAAATTAGGTAAGTTCCACAATGTGCTGCTAAAATGGTACATCTCCAATTAGACTGCACATGGGCTTATTGATCCGGTGTTGACATGTCCAAAAAAGGAGCATGGCCACCGACTGGTGAACGATTGGTGACATTTGGTTGAGTTGTAGCTACACAAACTATAGATGGTTTTATAGTTCCAGCCCAGCTAAAATCAAGCAACATGCTCAGAGCAAGAGAAGTGCAGGATGTGGCTCAAGGTAAAGTTGGGAAGGCCTTCAAACCAATGGTATGCATATTTTTTTAAATGTAATGTGTATATATCTGTATATTTACACATATGTAGTCGTCAGTTTCTCTGCAACAACAAGACGCACACACACACATATATATAATTTACATATACATATACATTATACATTTACATTATACATATACATTTTACATATACATTTTACATTTACATTATACATATACATTATACATCATACATCATACATTATACATATACATATACATATACATATACATGTGTTGACGTATATGGATGATAGCTTACAAATACACTGTGTATTCATTTAATTTGTATATACATGCGAAACTGCGAACTCATATTTATATATATATATATACGTGATATTATATATATATGGTGATACCGTGAACATATGGACGCACTTCTCAACATCATCGATTTTCTTCATTTTCTCAATTGGGATGTTGAACAGAGACTTTGTGGGTTTCAGGCTTCTACTGTTTAGGGGGTCTATGGCAGAAACACATATACCCCCAGCAGATTACCTGCGAGTCGAGAAAAGTTAATGATATTGGCACAGTGTGCCCCCCCCAGTTTTCAATAATTACACTAGCTACAGTAACTATAGCCGACTTAGTCACATCCTCCATAAACCAAAGCGTTGAACTGCGTGTCAATTTGATTTCGTTTGGGTGCCCCACCTTGCAAGTGTGGAATTGAGTGCGATGTAAAACGGTGATGGTGTATACTACGTTACATTGATGTTACATTGCCACAGAGGGTAAGTATTGTGTGGTTATTAGCATGTTTGTGGATCAAATCTTGGTCCATCTACTTCTGGTTCTAGTGCAAAAATCCAAAACTCTTCTTGCATCATGTCAAGCCTATCATTTTGTTCATGTTATTCCTACATTAATTTGTTGTTTCCAACACACCAGATACGTTTGGGGTGGAAACTGTGGAGCCATCAAAAGATAAAATTGCACATGCCCATTCGTTGTGGCTATGATTTAGCTAAATGAGTTGGACCAACCCTGTATTTTCTGTGAAAGTCAAAGTCATTCCAAGTCCTAGTCCTACAGCAAACCACAGGGCTCAATGCAGCCCCCCTTCAGCGTTAACTTGGATAATTGTCAACCAGCATTTTCGGCACCGGCAATGTCCAGTTTCTTTTGGCCCGCCAGATGTATTGTAGATGTATCCACCACAACATGTTTGGTAAACAAAGTGTCCTATTTGGGCCCAGTTTGATAACATGTGTTGATATATTTTGGAAATATATACTCTACAACCGCAAAAAATGCCAGCTGTACAAAACTGTGCCCACGAACAAAAATCGAGGTTCTTCTTTTCGATCTGGAATAGCATCATGAGTTTCAGCTTCGTTGCCCCGACCTGGGTAACCTTTCTGCGGCATCCCAACTGCAAGAATTTGTCGTTGGCGCTGTGCGTCATGCTCTGCCCTCACGTCTTGGTGGGGCTCATCATGCCCACGGTCGTAGGCGGGACACGCGAGCCAAGTCGTATCTGGGTGCCTTTCTGTCTATTTTGGTGGCTCATCCCACTTACTAATTTATACAGTAACAGTAGTTATAACCCTAGTTATAAGTGGATTAGATTGGATTAGGGTAATAACATACTTAGTAAGTACGGGATGAGCCACCAAGTACCATAGTTTGCTTTTGTTGCCCTAAGTTTTTCAATTTTTTCACATTGTTTTTTTGGGCTGGAATTTGCAAGAATCATGGCATGTTTCATGGCTGTGATCGGACGATCCCTGCAGTGGGGAACCATATTACATCAGCAGTTGTGGTGTGAATTCAGGCCCTAATTCAACCGCTGCCTTGAACCATTCAGTATTGACACATCCATTTAGCAGCACATACAGTTTCTTAGTAGCTATTACTTAGTAACATCCGCATATAATTACATCGTTACTTGGCAGCACCCACTTAGTAACACATGTTTGTTGGCGAAATCATATTTTTCCTCGTGCTTGATGCTAAATTCCATTGTTTCGTCTATGCTAAACTTGGTCACGCATTACAGTAAGCATGAAACAGCCACAATATATATATATATATATATATATGCAGGTTTCCTAAAATGGTGGTACCCACAAATCATCAGTTTTAATGGGATGTTCCATTATAAACCATCCATTTTGGGGTATCCCCATTCACGGACAGCCTCATATATGTATATATATATATATACAATGTGTGTATATAGACATATAATGTATATAATATATATATGTATATTGTATATACAACCATTCTATTCATATTATGATTGGTTATGGTTGGTTATCCCCATGTTATATCCACAATATATATATATATATTTTTCATATTCCATGCCCACTATATTTGGTTGGTCAAAAACTCATATGTCCCATTGGTTCAATACATCCGCGCACACCCATATATCCCTTTTCACAGTTATAACTCGCTCAGAAGTTGTAGGAGTTATGGCTCATCCCACGGCCAGTTCACCTGCAACCGTTGTGCCAGTTCACTGCATATATCATATGTTCATATTATATCCTTATTTTATGATATATGATTATATAGGATTTATGATATATTATATAATATCCACCTGATTATATTCATATCATATCATATCCATACATGCCCATGATATCCATATTCTGGTGGCTTATTAAAGCATCTTAAAACCCATCTATTTTCCCATTGGTTCAGGCCACCCGGTGCAGGTGGCGTGCTTTTGTTCTTCACCACCGCCTGGCCCTACTTCCTGGGTTGCTGGAGAATTCACGCCCGCGCAAGGGCCGAGAGCTCCTCCCGAGTGAGCACCTTTCGTGCGGGTGGCAGGGTGTGTTTTGTTCACTGATGGAGATCTAGGCGGGCAAAGATGAGGATAACCTATATATATATATATACATACTGTATATATATATATATATATATACACATATGGATACGATATATATATATATACGTATGTATATATGTCTATCTATCTATCTATCTATCTAATCTAATCTAATCGAATCCAATCCAATCCAATCCAATCCAATCGAATCTAATCTAATCTAATCTAATCTAATCTATCCATCTATCCATCTACCTACCTACCTACATACCAATCTATCAATCTATCAATCTATCAATCTATCAAGCCATCTATCTATCTATCTACCTATCTATTTATCTATCTATCTATCTATCTATCTTTAATTATTCCGTAAAAATTGGGCAGTTAAGCCACAACAATGAGTATTCAAGCCAAATTCAAGCCGTACAAATGTGGTACTCCGCCACGTTTTTTTCCGCAGCAAGTATGGGAGTGAACCATAAAATTGTTGGAAGTTCACTATTTCAACCAAGAGATGGATAGAAATCCGCAAAAAACATGGCGTTGCCAGGTCGGAGATTAACTGACAGTTGTTTGGGGACTATACTTACTACAGGATTGGCGTATGATGGGCAAATTGCTGGAGTGGGTGACCTATTTTGGACAGCTGCACTCAATTTCAAAGTGTAACAGTGTAACGAATGTGGAATCCTGGACGAACAAAATGATAGGCTACTGTAATGCCTGCGAAAAACAATCAAGGATTTGACGCTGTGGCACACGGCCCAAGTTTCATACTCGTAGATGTGGGACACAAGGTTACAGTATGAGTTTCGTTTGGTTGCGGGCAGAACAGCTTAGAAGAAAACTTCAGAATACACATTGAAAACATGTAGATAGCATGTACAAGAGACATCGCTGAATTTGGTCAATATATACTTGGCAGGAATGCCACTTATAGGCCAGAAAGACGTCTGACTAAACTAAACTTCAGAAAGGAAGTCATATGGAAAGCAGCATTGAGTAGATCCTACTTTGGAACGTTATTTTCACAATTACGCGGAATGGGAAGAAATATGTTTTGGAAAGACGCCCCATGGACTCAATGGTATAGGGATATGGCCAGAAACATGGAATGAGGAAGCGCCTTTGTACAATAGCAAAGCGACCATGACAAACATACTCCAGACAAGCAGTAGTACAGAGCAACATGTGGAAAACAAAATGTTCATGTTTGTTAATGTCTTAGCATGATCAGTTTATCTGAATGCACCTCCATAATGTGGAGTTGTTGTCCGAAGTAATTTTCCTTGGAGCTGAGTTTCGTGAAGAAGAACACACTCTGAAGCCGACAGCCTGTCACTCCGATCCTCATAATTTCCGATCGTTAAATTCCCTTCAAATGAAGATAGATATGCTATAACATTTGAACCGATAGGTACAGTTATGGCCATTGACTAGTTACAACTGGTTGTTTCTATGGGTGTATACCTTGGATAAATGGGGTTTTCTTAGTACTTGTAACTGGTATTTTGGGCCATAGCTGTAGGATTCACCCATCAACGGTTTTCCCACATCGCCATCTCCGATCCAGGCAGCGTCGCCGCGTCCACGTCGTCCCCAGCGGCTCCTGCGGCACAGCATATACCGGTGGTGGAGGCCCAACGGGGCATCCTGGGGCTGTAACCACGACATACAGCGCGGGGCCCCCCGCAGTTATAATTGCTGTGACGTATAGTCTATCAACGTCCATGAATTATAGCTATGGAAGGAAGTTTAGAAGTCAAACTTAAGACAATATGGACAGATGAAGCAGTAGAGGTGGGAAGAGGCAGAGAAGAGAAAGAGTCAGAAGAAAGAAGATCAGAGAAGAGAAGAAAGTAGATGCAGGTGTGCAGCCGTTCCAAAAAGCACAACTCCAGTGACCTTTCAATCCATCAGGGGTTCGCGCTGCCATCCATGTGTCCTGACAACCAAACCTGTCCTATAGGTTTCCTATATTTGAACACTGCCTTGTGCGGTACTACGGGTATGATATCCTCCATACACCATCACTAACCGAGTTACAATTCAACTTACAGAGCTACCTAGGGGGCCCTACATCAAATTGCTCTTCAAGTCTTCAAAACGAATGTGCCAACGGAGAAGCGAAAGTTCATTGGTGTTCCAGCAGCGATTTCCAACAGAATTGTGTTGTGACGGGATCTCAATTTGGCAAGGCTTGTCATAGACATGTGTGAGCCCCACACATATAGTTCTTTTAACATATATAACTGGCGAAGAAAAAACAAACAACTAATCAATTTAAGTGATCTATAACCTTAATTGCAGGAGAAAATTCATCCCTTCTGCAACTGTTAAGGGCTGTAACTGTTTGATGGGCCATGCGATTAGGAAACTGCTCGGTAACTTGATGAAACTGGGTAATGTTAAACAAAAAACAGTTACTATAGTCCATTAAGTAATTCCATGGCCAATCTAAGTATGGGATTTACGGGATATTAATACATTATAAGTTATAAGATAAACATTGAATATATAATAATTCAATGTATAAGCTGGGACTTGTGTATCATATACATATATACACCAATATCAAAGGGATAGTGTTCATGGACTAAGCAATATTTCATACATATATATATATACAATGGTGAACATTTGGAAATTAACCATCAACAATGATGATTCATTTTACGGTAAAAGACACACAACTTTCGTGTCTGGGATGATGATCCTAATTGAGCAGTTCTCAAGACCGCCAAAAAGAGGTCAGCTGTGATTCCTGCCTTCATTGCAGTTGCGGAATTAACATTACATGGGATTTAACTACTGCAGCTAAGGTTGTACAGAGCCGAAGATGCGAACAAATTTTATACAATTGTTCAGGGCTAAAACTGAAGAACATATATACTATATCAGATCCCTATGGAACGAAATTCTTGCTGAGAAAGTATACTTGAATCCCAACAAATACCCCAAATACTGCCTCAGAAGGTACGGCTGGATATTTTGGGCATGAATTCAAATGTGGAAATGATAGCCAAGATGTAGCAATGCTAGCCAAAATTAGTCACGTTTCATGGGGCCCGAACTCCAAGCTCCACCTGAGGCCACAGTGGTGGGTGTGTCCGAACCCAACAACCACACCAACAATGAGAGCAACGAAACCGCGAAGGTGGTTGAAGCTCAAAGTGTCTTTGCCAAAGATGCAGGAATAGATCAAGTCCTGTGGTGAACGCAACAGGCAGCAGTTGTAGCCCTTACAGCAACAGTTATAATTGGCGGGAAACGACAACTCGTTTAAGTGATATATACATACATATATATATATAGATATAATTGTTATATATATATATATTGTTATATATATATATTGTTATATATATATTGTTATATATATATTGTTATATATACTGTATATATATTGTTATATATATATATTGTTATATATATATTGTTATATATATATATTGTTATATATATATATTGTTATATATATATATTGTTATATATGCAATTTTAATTGCAGGAGTTATAATCCAGTTTAAACCTATTAAGGGCTGTAATTGTGGTGGTTTCGAGTTTTTTTTTGAATTTCAATTCTACTACTGTACTCGTAGCACATAGGAGGGTGATCCCATGTGTCCGATATTCGTTCGGGGAGGTTAAAGGCATCAAGTAGTCAAGTAGTAACAAATTATACAATGATAACAATAATGCTAACAATAGTCATGTTATATACATATCAATATACATATATATAATATGTACTATAATAAAACATGTGAATATATATATATATACATATAAATATATATGCATATATATATACATATATATATATAAATATTTATGTGGGTAGAGTAGTGATGATAAGACAGTGAGAACAGTAATACTGCAACAACAATCATGTTAACACCACAATCACAACAACAAATACATGCAATTGCCCTAAGTTTGTGGACCGGGAAAATGAACAGATCCATCATATTCCACCAATTGTTCTTCAAGTCTTCAAAACGAGTGTCCCAACGTTTGTGACCCACAGTTAATAGCCCTTGGTATACGTGGTTTATACCTCATTTAGGTGATATGTTTCACCTTAGTTGCAGGATCTATTTCATTCCATGGCCATACAAGGTGGTGCCCCCTAGATAGCGTTCAGTTGGTGAACATAACTCCAATGTCACTATGGTTTTTGTTGGTGATATATCTATAGTTTTCACGGGATTATAAACCAACAAACATCACTGGGGGGCACCACCTTGTAACAATCATTAACCATGATCATGAACCATTATTATCCCATTATTATCCCACTATAACTGTTGAGGGCCATTTGTGACCCAGGTGTCATCGTGGTTGAAGAGAAGAAGGAACTCTTCTGAGGAAACGCCCGGAAATTGGACAAAGTTCGGGACTTGGGAAAACCCATAGGTCCAAAAACTTGGACATCCAGTTACCCTCTGGTGAACTAACATAGCTATTGAAAATGGCCATCGAAATAGTGGATTTACCCATTAAAAATAGTGATTTTCCATTTATTGAAGATACAATCAAATATACAGTTATGGCCCAAAATACCAGTTATAAGTACTATAAGAAAACCCCATTTATAGAAGGTATAATCCCATAGAAATAACCAGTTATAACTAATAAATGGCCATAACTGTACCAATTTAGTTTGGTTTTAATCATGCAACTTAAGGCCATTTGCGAGTGGATGCATACCCATAAGTCATAGGGGTATCATTTCAGCGCTAATGGTTTTCAATTTTGACATTCCTCCCACTTAACCAGCATAGCTTTGGATAGTTCAGCCTCTTAGCGTTGTTTTGTTCGTTAAATTCTCTGAACTAAAGTCTTGGGACCATGTCGTTCTCTTCGTACTGGTGAGTCACTCACATGAACTAAAGGCAAGATCCCCTGGAATGGGGGTACCCCGAAATCATCCAAGTCATGGATGACCATGACTTAGTATTGAAACACATGGTTTTGGCGATCCCCCATTTAAGAAACTCGCATTTTTGTCTTGCAACATGTGTTTCTCGACGATTTCAGAGGTAACATTATTCTGTTTGGTCCATTTTCCCGCGTGTTTGGTCCATTATTCGCATAGATTGTTGTAATTTCCCCGTTCTCAGACACGATCACATATAATTTCATTGGTTAGATATTGCCCATTAGCTGGGACTGTTTAAGATGATCTGTGATTTTCCCAATGGGATATCCACCAGAACTGGGGAATCTCCAGAGGAATCTAATGATCTTGTTATTTTTGGACCCTGTTGCGCCAACCCACGAATATCCCGACAGATATAGCCCTTACTGGTAGCAGTTATAACAACTGGCTTATAACATCTTATAACTGGCTTATAACATCTTATAACATTATAACATCTTATAACTTTATTCAAATGTTGTTTTTCACCTAGCTGCAAGAGTTATCCCATTTATATCTGCTAAGGGTTGTGCAGTAAATCATGGGTGACTCAGCCTGCAGCGTTCCGCCAACCTCAAAGAGGTAGCGCCAGTGGTGCCGCATGATCAGTGGCACGAGAAAAAGTGACCGGATTGGCTAAGTCGGTGCTGCGATCATTTGACATATCTGAAATGTTAGGATTTAAAACAACTTGTTTTAACGGACAAACAAAACGCATAACCAATGGATTAGATACGATTCAACATATCATATTTGATGAAACATTGATGACTTGGTAATTTCTTTCCCACAGTTCGATCCGAAAGTTCGGAATGCGGAAGGGAACATGTCTAGACCTTGGTTGGGATCGATCGGTGAAAAACATGCTTTGTAGCTTGGTCAATTGGGTATCTAACCAAAATGAAGATTGATCCGAACAAAAAAATGTACACAATATATTTATATAATTATTCATATACCACTATCTGATCTGGCGTTATCATGCGTTATCCGGATTTGCATAAGACTTTGATAGCCTGTTTTTGTTTGGATATTTGTTTGTTATGAGGTGATACCCCAGTTGTTAGCTACTTTGGCTTAGTTCACCAATATGTCACGGTGGTGATGCAATATCGGTAGATTGAGTAACATAAACCAACAAACAATATTTATACATATTGGCTCATTAAATATGCTACCGGTAAATATGTATTGAGTAACATAAACCATAAATATATGTGGCTTGTTTATACATCTTTAAGATGAACTTAGTAATCATAGAACCTCGCCATATCAATGGCCAGAACGCAGAATCCGATTGGTTGGAGCTTCCATAAAGGCCTATGTATTTTTTGGATCTCCAGAAGATCTCCAGAAAATGTGGATCCAGAAATGGATGGTACTAAACTTACTAAACCCTAGCTCCATGTATTTCCAGAAATTAGCCTTTAGCTTGTTGGGATGATCCCATCGAAGCTGCTATTGCTAACGATACACTTAGGACATATAATTGTGGTTAGTTTATATATAATATGATTCTATGATAGTAGCTTTATTATAATCATATAACTATGGTTTATGAAGCCACCAAACTTTAGCTATATTATTTCATGATATGTATGTATAATTACATATTATTACATAATCACCATGTAAACCTAGCAGTTCTCTCATGTTTGGTTATCATCCAGGTGTTGCCCAAACAAACGGCCAAGCCGGGTTTGGCATCAATTGATGGCTTTGTCCAAGATTACAGGATGCTGAATTTCATTGCAAGTGTGGAACATGATGATTCACCATCATGTAATATTATATAGTATATACTTTAATATAATATATGTCATGTATAATTTATGATATATAATATATCATGTGTAATTTAATTATATATAATCTATAATACATGATATATATATATATATGTATAATATAATATATTCTTGGGTCCCTATTTTCAGACAAACAAGCCCAGATGAAGGTTCCTAAAATGGTGATACCCCCAAATCATCCATTTATAAATTGAATTTCCATTATAAACCATCCATTTTGGGGTACCCCATTTATGGAAACACCCAGATAGGTTTGGTTAATCCATTCAACTTTTTGCTGGAGAATACTAAGGGCGTCTTGTGTTTTTTTTTTTTTTTTCGGGGGGGAACTTCTCCTGGGGAATTCGGTTGTTTGGTCGCTTCGCTATACAGAATCTAAGTCGGTACTACAACAATCATATATATATATATATATATGTACACATGTTTTTCATATGTGTATATTCATCTACAATCATTGATGTATGAATACGTACACATTATGTATATATATATATATATATGTATATATATAGATACAGTAAAAACTGTATATTAGCAATATATAGGTGATCATTTGTGTCTATGTAGATGGGTGCAACTTTTCAGGTAAAGGACCTGGATTTCCTTCCTCCCTGCAAACTCTGGAGCGCCGCGTCCACGCTGAGGTCTCACAGTCGGAAATGATCGAAGAACTGGTTGGTGGTTACGGTTACTGGTGGTTTGAGACCCTGAAGCAAACACAAGCTGAGTTGGAAATGATGCAGTCGAGGTCATTTCTAGTTGGATTGTGCTCTGTCTGCTGTTGGATGTTTGATCGCCGCATTGGTTCACGAATTCGTTTGATCGAAAGAAGCTGCAGGACGTTTCAAACCCTCTAGATCATTCTAGACAGCATCAGCAAATCTGTAGATGTCCCTTTCCAACAAATTGTTTTACCAACCCGGGGTCTGTTTGAGGATCGGCTGTTTCAACCACCAACCAGACGCTGAGCGGCCAAGATCATCCATGTTGCCATGACAAAATGCATAGACGAAGCCGTAAGACCTCCAAAAGCCGGTGGGGATAGCTCAAACAGGTTTTTTTGTTTCATTGGAGGATAAACTTTTATATGCATCCATAACTACCAGTTTTTTTAGTGGGAAATATGGGCAGGATTTCGAGTCATAGCCACATTGAACACCAAAAAATGAAGAAAATGGATGACTTTCTGATTAGAACTTGCACTTTTGTGAATGGACTCATATGGATTCTGTGTCTTCACTCCTGGAACAGGCCTTTCCCAGCCTTCCAAGTTTCGAAATCATCGACTCTCCAGTGTTTTTTTACATGATTACAAGAAATATACAGTTATGGCCCAAAATACCAGTTATAAGTACTAAGAAAATCCCATTTATAGAAGGTATAATCCCATTTATAACCAGTTATAACTAATAAATGGCTATAACTGTACAGTATACATATTACATTTACTTATCAATATGCTGGTTGGTGGTGACTGGAACC